CGACAGTGCAGAGGATGTGGAGTTCCACATTTTCACAGTGCTAACAACAGTTTGTGAAAGGGTAAACAGCATGAGCTGTGACCACTGTGGCTGGAAATAAAGAGAAAAGATAGACCACCTAGAGAGACTCAAACTTCATCAAGAAAGGGCACAGCAAAATTACCACTGAAAGGGGCAGTTAGCGCCAAAGGTTATCAAATGCCACTTTAACTGCGAAAGAATATGTTTCTGAACCTGCTAGTACCACAGCTTTAAAACAACACAGTTACCTATATTAGATAGACAGCTACACTGTATTATGAAAGATATCCCAACCATTACAATATGTAATACCTCATAACGCAAATCTGATCCTCGTAAAAACATTGAGACAGCACAAATAATTGTTTTATTTTTTCCCCACCACGTCATATTGCTCGATGACATTTTTCACTCTCTTTTACGCTGATTCTTTCCTTTGTGAAATGCACTAAAAAAATAATTTAAAAAATACTTTTGAGCACACACTTGTGCTGTTTCAAACATGTCTGACTCACTGCTATCGTTGAGACCTTTCATTCTGGAAATCAAATTCATACTCAAACCTCCGACAGCGCTTCGACGCAGCACGCTGCTGCTGCCCCCCCATCAAGCCTGACTGCTGCTAATGAGACTTTGGATCTAATTAGCGATTTAGCATAGGAGACCCTGGGGTTTCCTTTGTATTTAATCATCAACATTTTTTCAATCATTATGGTCATATTTATTTTTTACTTTAACATGTTAGAAATAAAACCTTCATGCATTCATTCATTCAAGGGCATTTAACTGGAGCTGAACCCGCCTAGATTACCTTCGTACTGTGAAGGATTATACACCTGTCTTTCTTCAGCAGTGTACAGACAGGAAAGAACAGACCAGTATGTACTCTATGTCTGTAAGTAGTTATTATCAAAAAGACAGAGACGTGATGAAAGTGGAAATAAGAGTCTGAGTAAATCTGACAGAGGATTGGGTAATAGCAGAGATTATAAGCAGTATGGAGAGGAGGGGAGAGGGGAGGAGAGTCTTATGTAATCATGTAGATCCACAGTCAATCTATCCAATCCCTCTAATCAAGTCTGGGGGGGATCAGTCAGCAGGAAGGATCTGTGTCTGCTGTACAGTACAATACATAACGCATGTTTGTCTTTGCGACACAGAGAGAGACAGACAGACAGTGAGGGAGAAAGATAAGTGTATATGCCTAACGTTTATTTGTGTTTAAAAGGCTATTTAAATACAGTTTTGTTAAAGGAAAAAAGAGGCCTCTCATATTTAGACAGATACGCTTCGAGTAGGAATGCACCAATATATCGGTCGAACATCAGCTTCAGTTGATATTGGCCTAGTAGTTGACTGCCATTAGCCTATCAGCAAATAAAGTGACATTAACCAACAACAGTTGGAAATGTGTTTTTGTGTCACATTAGTTTTGCGCAGGCTCTGATTGGCAGTTCAGCTCAGCACACTAGAAGAGAAACAGAAGTGAGGAAAGTAAACAAACAGTAACATTCAAGAGGGAGTGAGACCAAAACAAACATTATTTTTCTTTCACCACTGTGCTCTTTAGCAGAAACGCTTCATGATGGATGGTGTTATTATTCCCTGGCACACGGTAAATATACTTTGTTCTTTTAACATCACATTGTGTTATTAAATTGCTAACTGGCTAACTAGCTTCAAGACATCTGGTTTCCCTTTTTGAAAGAAGATTACAGACTACCGCCTTCTGCTGGTGTGGAGAGTTATTTCCTCTCACACAGGTGCAGATCATACATGCTAGTTGACCATTGACTGCAGTCTTTGTCGTGTATTTACGTGCAACTTTTTTGGCTGAGACAATGTTAGGCAACGCAGCAAGGGGCCTCCGCCGCCACTCGTTCTCTGAAGTCAGTTTGGTGTGTCTGGGTCTTTAAACACAAACAAAACCTCAAGACACCACTATGAAAAATGTAACAGTCAATTTAGTTGAGAAGAGAGCAAAGCCAAAGCCATCATTGTCATAAACTATTTTGTTTTGGAGGACAGAATAAAAACAAGGGAGCAGTTCAAAAAACATTTTTGCAATTGCCCCATCTAAGCAAAGCCCGCAAACATCAGGCCTGTTAGGCTGTCATAGTGCTTTCTCATATTCCTCTGGGTACATGTCTCTTCACCAACAGGTGACCACACAGTCCCTAGAAACATTCCCCCAAAATAATACTTCATGGATGTGGACACAAGAAGCAGCACCACTTCTGCCAGCATAAAAAGTGAAGTGGGATTTCTACATCTGCACTTTTTCTCCCCGTGGAATCAGACTGGACTGGACAATTCATTAGATTTATCACTGACTCATCCACTTATCTGAGCTGGGCATGTAATTTCACTTTCCATCCATCCTACCTGCTCCAACCACAAATTCCCATTTAGTAGCCTGTGTCAGCCGGCCAGACTGGAGTCCCACAGGCGGCTGACGCTCCCTTTCAATTTCAGTAAGGCCTATTAAAGCCAGCTAGCAAGTCAGCTAGCAGTGGATATCTGGCCCGTATTCATCTAAGGGCTGACACACACTCTGACGCCTCAATTTCTCTCTGCATTTGTCTTAATACATCCCAAGAGGTTGGTGCAGAACAAGCTGTTGCTGCTAATATAGAAGTGACACTGGGCCAAAAAGTAGAAAGGCACTGGAAAAAACTGGAAACCAAGACGAGAGTCATTTCAGCTAAACTTGGTGCAAAGAGATAATGATTTTTTTTTTAAATATATTGCCATCACATAAAAAACCTGCAACATTTAAATCTGCAGAAACACAAGCTGAAGAATTTTTTGAACACACAAAGGAACACGATCATTTAGCTATGGTAACACAGATTTTTTTTCTGCATGAGAATTATGTGTGAAGAGTGCATATATACAGCACTGTGTCGTCAAAACAGTCTTTTTTCTGTCTAATCATATCATAATCATCTGTTTCTCCTAAACCCCCCTTAGGAGAAATAAAGATTAGCAAAAGAGTAATTCAGAGGGAGTTCTTTTGTTGTGCTCGGAGGCTTCTCAGAAGTATCTCAACTCTGAGAACAAATCAAATACACAGAGCTGAGACTTGAATTTGATCTCTGAGACCAATTTCTGAAATTATTTTTAAGCCAGTCAAGTTTTCTTTTGGATCTTACCGTTATCTAAAGAGTTGATTATTTCAGACAAATAAAGATTACTGCAGTGAGAGAGGAGAAAGGGCATTTTAAGACCTTGAATTACAATCAGGCTGAGACGAGAGGTAGGCTATTTGTCACGAGCTGAATTTAAGAAGTATGAGAAAATGGACAGAATCTCATATTGATGTTACATTGAGCTCACTTGTGTCTAGGAGAAATAGGTTGGACAAAGAAGAGATCTTACTTTGAATTTTTGTTATCCAAAAAACACTGCTGAATGAAGACTGGCTTCTGCTTTTAAAAAAAGCAGAAGTCTAAACCTACAGTGGAAGATGTAATCTTTGGGTGTATTGCAAAATTAAAGCTGCCCCCTGAAAGTCAAGAATCAAATCATCAGTCAGTAGGGATGGGCATGATTATTTGATCTGAACGTCAGTATACGTTCAACTTATAGGGTAATTGCTGTAGCTCTCTCACTGTTTATCATAAGACTATTGCTTTGAGATTGTGAACTCTGCACCAGGGAACAATTGCTGTGTGTCTGGCCTTCGACACAATATAGTGACAGGGCTAACTGTTAGCATTATACAGCTGAGGTTACCTAACAGTCTTTACCAGTTATATCAACTGAGTCGAGCAGTGGCGGTTTGAGTTTTTTGTCACCATTTAACAGCGCAGTGTCGGATGTTAGTCATGCCAACCAGGCAGACGTTGAACCGACCTCGCCACCTGAGACCCTGTGTCCTCATGTGAGGACATCACATTTTGGGTTTACTTGACCTTCTACTTTATTCTACTGAACTTAGACCTGTTGTCCTCATTCATGGGCACTTTTTTGTGTAATCTGATGGTAGTAAAAGCACAATACACTAAACCATGTAAAAACAAGATGGCAGCCATCTCTGCCAAGTCAATCTGCAGCCAATCCTGGCACAAAAGTGGACAAAATCCAAAACCTGATCACATGTTATGGTTGAAACGTGTTTATTTGTGATTAATAGTGCTTGTAGTTTGATATGGCAACAAATTTGACCAATTTTAGCAAGAGTTACAAGATAAGACGCTGTTTATTGGGAAGTACTCATTTGAAGACATTAGGACTCTTGTTTGAGGACATTGGGACTGGCAGTCAATGTGCAGTTTACTTCTGAGGGCATTTTGGTCCCCAAATAGCCTAGTTAGCACTCCTTAGCTTGGAGGGCTAACTTGACTTGTTTACTATAGTATGTGAACAATGCTGTCACCCGAAACATCCTGTTAAACCCCCTAAAAAATCTGGCAGTTCATCAAAGTGTTGCTTGACAGTCTATATCAGACATGTCCAAAGTCTGGCCCGGGGGGCAATTTTAATCGGCCCTAGGCTTGACTCTCAAAATATACCATATGTGGCCCTTTACACTATAATGGTTAATCGAGCAAGATCACTTCGCATTTTTACCCTTCACCTCACAATGATAGGACTATTATACATTTTGTAGACAGGCATCACGAAGTAGTAGTTCATTAAAAGATAAAAATAGTTGCATTTGTCTCACTTTTTTTTTTTTTTTTAAAACATTTGATGCGAGAATCAGTTGCCCCCCAGGTATTTTCACGTTGTTTTATCTGGCCCCCATTCAAAAAAGTTTGGACACCCCTGGTCTATATGAAAGAAAACCGATGAATAGTCAAATTTTGATTCCATTGACAAAATTCTGAGTCGGATACAGCCCTTGGCAAAACAAACATCACTACATGTATGATGTTTCTAAATGCCACATATATCGACAGTAAGTTTATACTGTATGCGGCTATTGTCAGAAGTTACTTAAAAATAATTTTGAATTTTTTTGTGAAACTCACAACATGAAGTCTTGTTCCCAACATGGCTGGTCCCCTCGGACTGTGATGGTGGTGCTCTTCACATTTTGCACCTTTAAAGTGACGTAGGCGTTGAACTTGTCTGGAAAAGATGAGAACAAAAAAATAAAAATCTGTGGTTTGGATTTTGCATTTTGATTTAATAGCTGTTTGGGTAAAAGTCTTATAAAGAATAATGTGCGGAGGTGCTTTAGTTCATTATAGGAACAAAATGGTGTCATTTTTGTTATGCATACTTTTACAACAAACAAATATTATTCTTCCTTTGTTCTGTCCTGTTTGCACTCCAGTGACCCATCTCACGTACTGGAAATATAAATTCCCTATCTGCATAACAATACAGTAAACAGCCATTATTTCTGGAGCAGTAAAGCATCTCTGGAGCTCATAAAAAGATGAAGGGGGGATAAACTAAGGCTAAAAAATGGACTATGAGGGATTTTTCAGACAGGGGAGAAATAATTAAAACTACTCACATAGGACAGAACTAACTAAAGAACACACACACTATACCAGGAACACACACACGGCCAGTTAGACAGGAGATTTCATGCAGAATTGAACATTATACAGGAGATAAAGACATTATTGTGTGCACAGCTGCAGGATATATCAATAAAACACAGAGCTTATGCAGATTTTGGCCTGTGCAATACATTAAGCTTTTCTCTTTAAATCACCAAAGAGTGCAAAGACTGTAAACCACCATGGACAGCACATTTGTGCAGAACTGTCAGAAAGCATTGATGAAGCGCAAGTGAGATTAAAGGCAATCAACACCCCAGTCATAACTCATCAAACAGAGTCCTACAAACTAATAATAATGCCTTTGCCGATATAAAAAAGGATCAATAAACATGTAAATCTGTCTTTAGAAGCAACACTAAATGTGTTGTCCACACACTGCTAAACCCCCCAAAAATTAATTCAAATAATTCCAATAAAACATCATTGCCGTCATTATAAGTATTAAGTGATGTAAAATGTAAAGATGCAGCGCAGACATGAAGGTAGAAAAAAAAAACATCTTATGAATCCTCCATATTCAGTCATCCAGGACAAAAGCAGGAGGACAAAGACAGAAATGAACAATTGCACCTTAAATAACTGAGCCGTGTGCCTTTTAATAATGCTCATTTGCAAGATGGTGTCACAATTAACTGTAGGAGCGCTGAACTGGGGAACATTTTGTATCACCAGAAAGCCACTTCAGACACTGAACCAGAGTCTCATTACGTTTTCTCATCACACACTGATGGCTGCGCCGAGAACTATATGACCCTTTCCCTTCTTTTCTGTGATGCTGGTCCATTTTCGGCATTGATCCCAGCTTAATATATTCATATTCAGTCATGTTGAGCGACATTTGGTTATTTTACAAAGGTCAGCTGGTGCAAAGATAATAACCCTCTTTTTCCTGGAAGTTCCTCCTTGTTCTCACTGAGGGTCTGAGATTATTATTTCATAATGTGGGCACTGTGGAGCACTTTGACGGTAATGGATACATCACCTTAACTTTGTCCTCTTTCACTCTAATGACTGTATACTTACATTCATTCTTTATTTATTTATTTTTATTCACACTTGCAAAGATGTAGCCTGGTTGCAGATTTCTGAATTGCTCCTCATATCTCGTGTTTTTTTAGTGATTCAAATACATCAGTTGTTGAAATCTAGTAAAAAAGAGCAACTCTGTCACAAAAGGCACAGCTGAACAGGTTATTATAAGCTGACTTCTGGAGAACACTCATGAATCAGCATCATTGATCAACATGAGAAAGTTGTACCGAATCCGATACCAGTATCGGAAATGCCTCCGATACTGCCTAAAATGCGGTATTGGGTATTGGTGAGTACAGCCTATGACCAATCCGATAACACGTAATGCCTCACGTCATTACGCATACGCACGCTACAGGCAAACGAAATGGAAATGGAGCAGAGTTTAAAAAGCATTCTACTGTAGCCTTTAAAATGTCTTTTTTACCAAATTGTGTGGCTGCACTTTAATCTGTGTCTTGATCTGTGTCAACACTGGATAATAATAATAAAAGTTTTATGGCATTAATTCTACTAGTATGTATTCATTTCTTAATATTTTACATAGAGTTTTAGGAGTTGAGACATACAACAATTCATATCCCATCCATTTTTATTTTACGCGCTGGTATCGGATCGGTACTCGGTATCAGCAGATACCTAAGGTTCAGGGATCGGAATCGGTATCAGGAAGGAAAAAGTGATATCGGTACATCTCTAATATCTTCACTGGTTAGATTAGTTTTAGGAAAAGAATCATTGTTGGATGTCATCACACAATGTACGTACATAACTTAAAATAACTCAACATTGGGGTTTGTGTCCTGTGTAAATCCAAAAGTCAGTCTCCTCGGTCAAAGTCCTGTGTTTGTTTGCCCCATCCACCACTCTGACCTATACACAGACTTTGTCACTCTATATACTACATCTGATTTCCTCCTTTGCTCCTGACAACAACGTGAAGAAGAAAAACATCATTACATCAACAATTTACGGTTATATACCAGTGACAAATACCTCTAATGGCCCTAGAAAGTAGTGTGACATTGTTGTATGGTTAAATGAAATATTGATTGAAACTATATTCAGGGTCAACGTTGTTTGAACCATGACCACCATCATTGACCAACCCCAACGATGTAGTTATTATTTTTGACCATAACAACAACAACCAAGACCTTCTTGAAGAGGTGGTCTCGGTCCGGTTACAAACGAACTCTGGTGCGGATCGTTTGTAGTGAGAAGGTGTTCCGACCTGGATGTGAACCAACTGCAGTCACATGACACATTGTTTGGGTTAAACATGAGCATGTTACAGTCCTGGAGGATTATTAATGTGCACCTCCTCCTGTACTGCCTTAATATGCACATTCAGCACATCCAATGCATCAAAACATTGTTTTCTAGTTGGAGCCGCACCTCGTTTTCAAACTGTATGGTTTGACTAAAATGAACAATGACAGCAATGTAGTCCACGATGAGCAGCGCTAAAATCAACCTGCGTAGTTGTCCCTCCATTGTGACATTAGAAAGTGTCACATTTATCTTGCAAGTGTACTCTTCTTCAACGTTTGCTTCACTTCCTGGATTTTTCCCACATGGAAATTCTGACCAATCAAGAGCAGCTTTCTTGTGCAAGGCATTTGATCTGGTCCGCTTGTAAATGCTGCCGTGAGAACACGAACCAACTCTAGGCAATTATACAACTTTGTGACAAAATTAGTCTCTGATTCGGACCAAAGGAGACGACTCTGGGTCTGAAAACAGCCTAAATCAACCTGAAATATAACCATAGTAGTGCTGGCAAACTTTCAGTTTCATAACAGTGATTTTCATCAGTTTTGGAAGACAATGACAAACAATCCCATCCTGCTAACAGGGGTCAGATCAGACAATACTTACAGTGGTGTTATTCTAGACAGCAGATAAAAGCTGTGTTTTGGCAACTGTGCAGCACATTTGTCCTTAAAGGAGGAACTCAACCCAATGTCCTCCTAAGAGGCAAATACAAGTGTATGTGTGTGTGTGTGTGTGTGTGTGTGTGTGTCCTTCTGTCCAACTCAATGATCAGCATAATCAGCATAAACCGAGGAGGTTTGAGCCACTGACCACCTAATCCCTGCTTGATTACCTGCATCAAGTAGCCTGCTCTTCACATGGACACAGATCCCAATGTACACAACACTGAGTGCGTATGCGGTGTGTGTATTCATGTCCTGGTACATCACTGTGTTCTCAATCTTACAACCACTTCCTTTTGATGAGGGCCAGTGGAGCTGAGGACAGCGTCAGTGGATTTGAGGTGAAGATGAGGTGAGGGACATGATCATTCAGCTGCATTAATGAATACATTACGGCCAGGCTTTGGTTCCAGTACCCACTTTCCAATTTGGTTGTGGTTCCAAGTCGGTAAAATACCTGGATTCATAAAGCTCTGAGACTTGATGAAATCTTAATGAATCTCTTAACAAATTATCTCCTCCTCTTCATCAGCGAAAAACAGTAATGAGTGAAACTTAATTTAAATTCTTAAAATATTAATGTTTGAGTTCAGGCTCTTAAATAAATATTGATAATTAAAATTAATTAATTAAATATAAGGGTTTGATTCACAGTTGCTCTCTAACTCAAAATAACTTTTCTCCTTAAATTCAAGACATGTTTTGTTATGGGTACTGGCTGCAAATTCACAGCTGTAGCTTACAGCAGTGGATTTTAAACTTGCATAGAAGATATTTGGAGGATGATGGTTTTAATTAGAACTTTTTAACAAGATGCAATAACTAAGGTTTCGACATAAAGCATGTATTCACCAAAGTAAGACGGTGAGAAGAGATGACAAAAATGTGTTTTATGCTGAAACATTCACTGCAAACAGTCAAAAAGAATATGCAGCAGACAAAAATCCCAGGAAACCCCGTTTAAGATAATGCATACATTATAAACTACCCCATACATTAGGAGCAAATATGACAGTGATTGCTCTGGTGTGCATTTAAGCAGAATTAAACAGATATTAGAGAATCCTTAGTCTTAACCATCTGTTTTAAGTTGGCTTTCTAATGTTCAGACTCTCCCATTGAAAAGGCTCACACATGTTCTCCGAGGAGACATGAATGGGTTTTTCTCTGTCTGGAGCCCTCTGGTATAGATTTTTTTGTAGAGGACTATGCTGAAATTATATTAAAAGGTTTTGCAACTTCGGGATCAAAGTGATCCGCAAAGGGTAAAATCCACATGATCATTAACATTTCATTGTTTTTGTGGTTATAACGTGGAGGATGATGATCTATGTTTGTGTCATTTCCTTGTCTGCTTTTCCATCAGTTAGTTGGTTTCTATGGTTGGCTGTTGTCTGGGTTTAGTATTAAGTGTGTAATTTTACCAACTAAAAATAAAATGATTCGAAGACAGAAACATTAGTTTCTGAACCTCAAAATTCTCTCACAATATCCATGTGCGCCAGATCTCATCAGCTTAAGCTTCAAATTGCACCAATATTCCTTCATCTCTGTTCTGTACTGAGGCACAGATCACTCATAG